CAATCAAATTATTTAGAGATACAAAAATATTTTATTTTATTTTGTAAGAAAATATATTTTTTTCAATAATTCGATGTGATTTTTATTGTGTCTCACTTTTTGCACTCGAAATTAGGTTGGAGGTTGAAATAATTAACAATTTAATTTTTTATTTTGCACCCTGAAAAAAAAAACCGCAATAAAAAAATGAAATTCTCTTTATTATTCAATTCAGGGTGCATTGTGAATGATTTATTGTGTTTTGAGGGTGCAAAGTGTTATTATTATTTTTTCAAGGATGCAAAGTGCCAAAATGCTCTAATGTGAGGGTGCAATGTGCTATTATTATATTTCAAGGGTGAAAAGTGCCAAAAAAACTCTATTTCGAGGGTGCAAAGTGTGATTAAGCCATAATAAATCATATATATCTGATACATATGCGTGAAAAATAGATATCCCAAGAACATAGCAAAACACTATAAGTTAGAAACTTTGCAACCAAATAAAAAAATAAATGTTAAATGATAATTTATATGAACCAAAAAATTATAGCATTTATGTTTAATACATTAACAAAAATATCAGTATATTACTATTATGTTGGGCTTCACACGATGTGTGTGTGTATGTGTGTATATATATATATATATATATATATATATATATATATTAGATTTGATTTATATATTCATTTTATATTTAATTTATAAACTAAGTATTTCCAAAATTTTGAGAAAAATAGGTAGACTTCACACAAATATTAGATAAAGTTCTCAAAATTAGGTAGACTTCACACAAATATTAGATAAAGTTTTGATCATGTGTATGTTTTATTAGATAAATATTAACTATTATTAAAACTATGCATAAAGTACTAATAAGAACATTTGAAATTGGTCAAAAAAATTGATTTTAAAAAATTAGCAAAAAAAAAGAAAAAAAGAAAAAAAAAAAACTGGATGAAGCCCAAAATTAGGTACATTTCATTTTCACCCCCAAGGTTTTGAAGGGTACTGTGGGCATTATGTAAATTATACTCTTTTTTGGCGGTGAAATTGTGTCCAAAGGATGATACTGAACAAAATTAGAAACATAGGGACTATTTTGATTTTGACTCTAAACGTCAGGGACGAAAATGAATTTTACCCTTAGATTGCCATATATATTGATATAGAGATGAAGACAGCCATGCAAAAATGTTGGGCCATACCGAATTGAATAATCTTGAAAAGATGGATCATTTCAATTCACAAGGCCCCCCATCACCCCCTGAAATTATACTCACATGAATCACGAATGGTCCCTTTCTTTATATATTTCCCTTTTTTTTTTTTAAATTATTTTTTGAATTATCCAATCATATATTTCAAGGGAAAATTACGGTCACTATTGAGATATGATTAAATTACGAAAAAACTCATCTCGTTTGGATAAGTACAGCCACTTCCAACATTTCTTAAATCAACTATAACTCTTTGTTGTCTCCACTACTAGCGAAAAGTAATAGTCCATTAAAACTCTATCGGAATAACGTATCCTATGTATTATCCCATTAGAGTTTCTAACTATGTTTTAGGGGCTGAGTAATTATCGATACCACATGAACCTTAAAGTTATTTTAGCATAACTCAGGGGTTTGGGTGTAATTTACCTTAAATTTTATGTAATTCGGTTATTCACCGAACAAATCGTATATTCAGTTCGGTAAACGTAATGAAAATGTTGGCGTACCGAAATTTCGGTTCGATTTTCCGATTTAAACTCCCTAAATTTACCCTGGAGGGTTTTTTTCATAAGATAATACATAGTTGAAGGGCTGACTGTAATTACCCAAACATGAGAAGAATTTTCATAATTTGACCATAAATCAGGGGTGATCGTAATTTGCTCCATAATAAGAAAAATAAAGCGTTAAGATATAAGTCTCTCGTAACAAAACTTACTAGAATTAAATAACGAGCAAAATTAAACCTTTGAATTTTCCGCTGCCTTTGACTCCCCAAGATTTTTCTTAGGTATATGGTTTGTATTTTTTGAATATTATTTTTGGCTTCCCAAAATTTTTGTAAATATGCATTTTAACCCATTATTTATTTTGTTTCTTCTCCATAATCTTATATAAATTATAGATAAATATATCATATTTAATATAAAATAAGATGCTTAAACCTTGTATTATTTTGAATAAAATTTATGAATATTACTTATTTTTTAATTTTTTTTATCAATACCTTGAAATCGTGCCATGAATCCCTGAAATATTAAGTGCAATACATTATTAGAATAATTTGAATTAATTTATAATTTTATGCGATGATTAAAATATGATATAATTATAATATATATATGATATTTTAATTAAAAAATAGTAATATTAACTTGTTTTTTGTAATGTTTTGTGAACCTAAATTTTTTTTTGGAGCACTACCCCGAACTCCAAAATTTTAGTTAGCCCCCTCCCCCTATATTTTGATCTTGGTTCCGCCCCTGCATATGTCAATTTAGGATATAAGTCAGAGGGATGAGCGACGAGTTTAAACGAGAAACCAGTGTTTTTCTCTCCCAAATCGGGCGTGTAAACACCATTTTTTTGCCTGAACCGGTCGTCGAAGTCGGTTCAATTCACTATATTTATTTAGCTATGTAATTTCGTTAATTACTTAATTAATTATGTAATAATTAATTCATATATTTTATCACCCTTTAAAAAAAATTTCTACGAACTCTATAATTAAACTACAAAATAAATTAATAGACACGTGTCAAAAGATGAAGCGCCCGGTTATATATAATAACCCAGTTATTTTTATTTCTATGGTATATAAACTGAAAATTCGATTTCTTTCTGTAACGAATTCAATTTCTATACATAACTGAAAAAATTGTGCTGCAGGTGAGGAAAATGATTCGCAGTTTGTTAGGTTCGTTTTGGCGGGAAAATTCGCTTCCAAACAAATATATATATCAACTGTCTGCAAAAATAACCGCACAATTTCACTTCCGATCGAGAACACGCGCACGCCATGGAAATGGCGGAGAACTCCGTCCGCGTAGCGAAGGAGCTGCCGGTGATTTTCGGAGATTTCACCAGCCAGGAGAGCTGGGACTGTTTTTTCTCCGTAAGAGGCGTCGCCGATTACTCCGAGTGGTACGCCGACTGGCCCCAACTCCGGCCGGCCTTTCTCAGTAGCCATCTCTCGTTTCCGCCGGCGGCGCCGCCGCGGGAGGAGCTGAGTATTCTGGTTCCGGCGTGCGGGTACTCCAGGCTGTCGGAGCATCTGTACGACGAAGGGTTTAGGACCGTCACGAATGTTGATTTCTCGAAGGTGGTCGTCTCCGCCATGTTAAGGAGGAATGTGAAGGAACGGCCGCTGATGCGGTGGCGCGTGATGGACATGACTAATATGCAGGTAATTTTTTTTTCTTTTTCCCTCAGCTGATTTCGAATTTTGACAGCTCCGAACCCCAAGGCGATTGGGGTTTAGGGTTTACATATATTTTCTAGTTTCTAACCTTTGCAATTGCAAATTGAGAATTGGGATCGTAAAATTAATTAATTGCTATAATTTTTGTTTATTTATTTATTTAATTCAAGAATTGTGGGCTCTTTAATTTGATTAAATACAGTTTGCAAATGGGAGCTATGATGTCATCATTGATAAGGGAGGACTGGATGCTCTAATGGAACACAAAATTGACCCGAGATTCGGAACACTATACTTATCCGAGGTTTGTGTGGTCGTTTTTTGTTCGATGATACGATACAATTTCAATCTCGTAACTTTGTTATGGTTTAGTTAATAGTTTGACGACTCATTAATAACAGGTTAAACGACTGTTGAAAGCTGGAGGAAAATACATTTGTCTCACCTCGGCAGAATCTCGTGTACTAGGTATATTTGTTATTCAGTATTCAGTACGAGGAATCGGGTTGAAAAGACGATGTTTGGTATATATAATCTCAGGTCTGCTTTTATCAAAGTTTCGATTTGGGTGGAAAGTCGATCTTCATTCCGTTGCTCAAGACCCATCGTCTGGAATTACGTTTGTGTTGGTCGCAGAGAAATATATTATATCTCATGTTTCTCAGATAAAATCGTTCGTGGATGAATATTCTGTAGAATCCCACGGTAATCAGGTGATAACGGTTTTAATTGCTAGCTCATACGAACACTCATTACATTTAGATTACTATTTTAAAATATGGAGGAATAAAATTTTACTTTTTCGAACATGTTGTTATAGGTTCAAGAAGTATTTGAAGCACTTGAAAAAGAAAATACCGTTCGTGCAGAATACTCGAATGGCACTGGTAAATGGTACTCAATTGAAGAGCTGAAGCTAGGTGTGAAAGGAAACATTAGAGTGCTCGAACCCCTTCGATCTGTATGCGTTTTTCTAGGCGGAACGGGATCATCACGTTTCTTCTATAATAGTGTACTGTTCGATGCTATTCCAAAGGAAGAACCTTTTACCGATCAATTTCGTGTGTTATTTTTTCAAAATGTTAGTAGTTCCTTTACTTATCATTTTATTTACAGTTTGAGATTCGACTGTTGTTCCATTCAGAAAAAAAATAAAAAAAAATAAAAGATTAAATTGCCTAAAAAGTTTTGCATAACGAGTTATATTAATCAAATATATTTTGCTATTTAATTGTTTTTTTGGAATTTAGATGCTCAGTTTCCAGGATGTCTTCGTATCAAGAAACGGACCATGGGGCCTTGTCCGAGGCTCAAATGCTGCTCGGGTTTTGATGGTAATTTTTCTAGTCAATGATTAATTTTAGTTTACTTTTTTGTTCCTATATCGAATCGAACATAGCAATATTATATTGATTGGTTTTAGGTTGGACTGGATGCAAGCCATTCCAATCTTTCATTGGCCGATGTAGTGGTAATTCTTGAAATTTGTTTTTCTATAGCCAATGTAAATTGCGAGCTGTATATATATTCGACGGACTCTTATATTTTTTTTTTCTTTTCGTTCGTTCTTTCTTTAAGAGGGATATAACGGATTTTGTGAAAGAATTGGCCCCAATGGATGGTAAAACTGATGTTGTGTAAGTATCTAATCAGCATCTACTTATCCGATACCAGAACTCGTCTGATAATGGCTTTAGCTCTTGATTTGGTATCAGTCAATGCTATGTTTACGTATAAAATTATCGATTTGCAGAGTTACGTCTGTAGATGAAGGGCTTAAGTGGCGGAAAATTGTGTACGAGGTTGAAGAATTACCGTGATCTCTTATTGGTTGTCTTTTTGTCACATATGTAGAATAAGTTTGTTCTTTTTTTGTTGTTGGTTTATACTATTTAGGTTACGTCTGCATTGACTGGCACGATCGTTGTGGAAGACGTGATATATAAGGAACAATCGGATGTTCCTAAGGATTCCATATTCCGGCGCCTTTATTTTCGAAGAACTGAAACTATAATGCAATCTGAAGCTCTTTTATCCACAAAAGAACTCGAGATTAAGAAAGTTCCGGCAGTTTCCAGAACCTGGAAGAAAGGAAAATCGAAGAAGTTTGTATCTCCGTCATCATCTGATTCTCATGGTGAATCTCTGTCTCTGTCTCTCTGTCTCTCTCTGTCTCTTTCTCTCTCATTTCATTAACTATTTTGCGTGGTATTTTGTCATCTTGTATGAGGAAGAATCGAGTGGCAACACGAAAGTCGATCACGAATTTTTGGCATGTGAATTCCACCAGGGGATGATTGCTGGACTACTGTTGTTTTCAATACATTCAAAAAGACATCCTCAGCTGGTGGATTTGTGAGCTATATATATATATATATATATATATATATATATATATATATATATATAATTTAATATTTAATACAAACATACATAAATAAAGCTTCAGTATTTATTTATTTTCAGGTAAAAACAGTTATAATCGGTCTTGGAGCAGGACTGCTTCCTATGTGTATGAGAAAGTACATACCTTCTCTAAAGATCGAGGTATCGAAAATCTCTGACTGGTATTACCATTTTTATTTTTGTTTTGTCGTTGTAATAATTCTTGATTTGTTAGGTCGTCGAGTTAGATCCTGTGGTTCTGAAAGTTGCTAAAGAGTATTTTGATTTTGCAGAAGATGAACGCTTAAAGGTAAATATTTTTATATTCCACACTCCGTCGAATTTCAAACAACAAATAAAAAAAATACGTTTAACAGGTACATATTACTGATCCTATTAAGTTTGTCAGGGAGATAGCAAATTCTGATGCAGGTAAAGTCACAACAATGTAACTATTATATATATATATATGTATAGACACACACACATACATATATTATATTGTTGGTCTGTATTAATTTCATGAAGAAGGGAAAAACGACTATTTCAAAGTTGACGTACTTATAGTCGACGTGAACTCATCAGACTTGAGGTAATTAAACATGTCCTTCAACTCAAATCAATTCTGGTTAAAGTTACTTAGTGGGTTTTTTTCAAAATATTGTGGGTGCATACAGTTCTGGTTTAATCACTCCAGAGGTGGAATTCGTGGAGGAACATTTTCTCGTGGCAGCAAAAGAATCACTCTCTTATAAAGGTTTATTAATCACTAAGTTGGCCCGAAACTTCGGTACTGGTGTTAGGACTGCAGTCCATTCAAATTTGAGAAAGGTGAGAAATTGTTCGAAATTAATTTATATAAGGTGAGAAAGTTTGACATTGGGCTGTCGAGACCCTTGTGCGTGCGTATTTTATTTGCAGGTATTTAGCAATGTATTTAGCATGAAGATGGAGGTACGTGAAGATTTCTGTGAATTAATATTTGCACTGAAGAAGGAGTCTCCCGTTGAACTCGGTGAAGCTTGTGCGGCACTCGGAAGATCGTTAGAGTATAAAAATAATAAGGATTGGGTCAAGAAAGCCTTAGCTGACTCGAAGATGATCCAGCCACTAAAAAAATTATGATCATCAAGAAAGCATTTTTTTCTTTTTCTTGGTGGTAATTAGATACAAATGCAGCTGCTGATGTATACTGTACAGTATAATGATACATGTGAGAAGATATTGTATACATATATCCAGGAGCAATTCATTCATTATACTGTTTGTTGATGTAATGAATTTGCACATATTATACCCTTTTATAATGTGGTTGTACTTTTGTGAATATACTCATATACTAATTTTTTATTTTTTATTTTCTTTAAAAAGAAAAAGATTAATATGAATCACTTGCTCTTAGCAGCAAAAGAATCACCTTGATCTCTTGGTACAAATCACCCCTAAATGTAACAAAAAGAGTAAACTGCAAATACTACCCCTGTGTTATCTCGAAATAGCGAAAACCCCCCTGTGATAAATAAACTAGCAAAAACCCCCCTGTGAAATTTAGTCAAAGGCAGAATCCCCCCTAGCTGATTTTTTAGACTTGAAATGACAAAATTGTCCCTCAAAATGTATTTATATATATATATACATATTATATGTATATTTATTCTTTTTAATTTGTTTGTTTAGAAATTAAAAAAAATAGTAAACAACTAAATTGATTATTTTTTAAATAAAATAATTAAAATATTTATAAAATATAAGAATTTATTAATTGCAAGACTCCAGGGGTATTTGTGTCTTTTTATATAAGTCAACCCTCAAATAGTTCCATAGGGGGGTTTTTGCTATTTAAATAATTTCAAAGGGGAGGTTTTTGCTAGTTTATTTATCACAGGGGGGTTTTTGCTATTTCGAGATTATACAGGGATAGTTTTTGCAGTTTACTCGTAACAAAAAATGACAAATTACCCAAATATCATAAATATTGTACCGTATCGTATCGTATCAACTACCGTAACATCTATTTGTTAATATAACAAATGAAGTTTGAATAGCATATTTTCGTAAGATAAAGTATATATGACTCTCGGCTCAACATCGGGCTTAATTAAGGCTCGTTCTAATTTGACTCGATTGATTATCAGGCCAAACTCATACACAATTTTAATATTTCGATAAAAATCAGGTAAATTTAACACACACTCGACTCGACTCGCTTCTTTTACATCCCGTACGCTAGCGGTGTAGGTGTACTAAAATATCAATACACATGTAAATATATTACTTTTTTCATAAATATTTCATTAACCAAATTTAATAATTTAAAAAAAATAAAAAATATTAAAAACGCAATTTGCCATGGCATGGGTCAACAACCACAGGAAGAACTAGTCGTCGTCTTCTTCTCCAACATCTGCTCCTCCGCCTTTCTCAACTTGACACCACGCGCCACTTTTTCAGCCCATTCAGAGAAATACCTCTCGTCGTATCCAATCCTCGCATTCTTGTACACCGACATACACCGCCGGTCATTCTCGTCAAACGGGCACACGACATCTCCATCTCCATCGCCGCCTGTATCGTCCCTCCACGCGCCGCCGTGGTTCATCCCCGACCAGCTAGCTATCCAGTGGTACACGTACTGTCCGACTCCGGCGAGCTTCAGCCACCCTTTGGGGAAAAACTCCATAACGGTGCTGTTTCTATCCATCAGAAACATGTTCGTCAACTGCGCCCCGTGCGGCGACACCAAAACGTCCGTCGACTTCATCAGCTTCACCTGCCCGCAGAAGTCCAGCTCGCCGGCGTACGCCACCGTCAGACGGCACCCCTCCACTTTCCGGCACGCCTCCCGGAATATTCCGGCCACCGCCGTCTGGTTCTTGAACGACCTCGCCCCATTCCTCATCAACATCGTCATTCCAATCTCATCATCCCGCCGCCGCCTCTCCATGCTGACGTGGCAGAATATTCTTGCCTTGCACCTCAAGAAATCGTACACCTCCAATCTTCTCTCTCTAGACATCCCACCTTCGTTGTGCCTCATCACCACCGCCCTCTCAAAGCACACCGCCGCCGCCGGAGAAGAAACACGACCGTCGAATTTTTCGATGTTCAACGGCTCGCCGAAAGCGGCCGCCATTAAAGAACTCAACCAAGGTCCCATTGTAGTCCTCAACTCACCCCAATGGTACAAAACCCATCTTGCCGGAGAAGAAGAAGAACAATTATTATTATTACGTAAACGCCACGCGACGAAAGGGACGACCGCAGACAAACCGTGCCAGATATTATCGTAATTATAGTGATTGTACGAGACGAAAGTGATGCCCTTCATTAGGGTTGCGTTGCGGGGTAGTGCATGAGGCCATGCAAGTGCATATGAATTCCATGAACCATCATGTGTGTCGTTGCCTTTTATGCACAAAACCCTACCTTTCGATGCTTTCGAGGGGTATTCTTGGTATTTCACTTGGCCCTCTTCATGTGTATCTTGCATGGAGCTCATGAACCATGTGTGCCCTTGGAGGGGTTTGCTCGAGTATCGGAGGTCCTTGAGAGGGAGGAAAGTGACCGATTCTTGAAGTTTTGAGGCCACGGAAGAATATTCGAGTTCTTGATCTCCGTTAGTGCAATTACCGGTGAATAATGCTTTTCGCCATTGATGAGTGAAATCGAAGGTGGAGGCAATTATTTGGATGTGGAGGAGAACGACGAAGAGTATGGCAAAGACGGCTAACAGGATAAAGAGTTTTGCCGAACAAAGGGAAGCAATCGACGATATTTTTCGGCTACGTTTGCCAAGTTCTGAATATGGTTTTGCCATGGAGCTAGAATGAATGATCTTTGATGAATTGAATTTGGAGTACTATGCGTGATGATTATGATTTGAGATTTTGAGAAAATATATATATATGGTTAATTTCACTTGGAACCCCTCCTAAATAGTGAAATTGCAGACTCACCCCTCTTAGTTAAAAAATTGACCATACCTCCTCTGCTAGATGCATCTGCTTAGCTTGTTGGTCAGTCCGTCCAAAAATTAGAAGGGAAGTGATGATATCATCAAAAAAAATTAAGTGAATTTCCATTTTAACCCTTTTGACCAAAGTTGACTATTTAACGGACTGAAAATGCCCTTATAGTCTTTTGACTATTCTAATTTAAGGAATCAATTTTTTCTATTTTTCCACTTATTTTAATAAAAAAAAAAAAAAAAAAAACTGGAAAAATGAAGGTAAAATTGAGTTTTCGCACACTCCGTTAGTGATTATAAACGGAGACATCTAACAAGGGAGGTGTGAGACATTTTTTTTTACTAGGTGGGGGTGAGTCTACAATTTCGCTAACTAGGAGGCGGTTATAGGCAAAGTGTAGCCTATTTCAGGGGCCTAGATGCAATTTTGAAATTTGAATGGGTCAAAATGTACTTACAGCTCACATAAACGTAATTACTGTGCAAAATTGTTATTCATAGGGAAAGAATGTACACCTGGTCAAAGAGTTCCATGAATTCTTAAACCATATTATCAGTTTATCACTACTGCATTATCAGATTATTTCATCATAAAACTATAAAAAGAAGTTAACGTTATTATTAATCCTATCTATCCTATATATATATTAAAAGGCTTAGTTATTGCATGCAAGCTTCAAGAAAGTTATTTCAAAAAGCTGTACAGAGATTACTAGTGGTCAAGTTAGACGAGCAATCCGACTGTACGGTCCTCGAAGGACTGCATATTCTGCTCCTTTTCGGTTCAGATATTCTAACACGCGAAATCGCCACAGCTAATACATCTACCAAACCCCCATCTTCTTCTTCTTCGTCGTCTCTGTCAACTACTTCACTGCAACAACCAAATCCTAAATTCTTCTTCTTTGATCCAAGAGAATGTGTCTTTAATGTCGCTTCTGTGTAGAAAGAAATCCATGGATGCTCTGTACAATGGGCGAAAAAGAAAAGGTTTATGTATTGCTTCTCGAATTTTCAGTTTTGTCATAAAAAAATATCGAGAAAGTAAGGGTAATTGGAAGAGATCATTACGTACTTAAAACCTCGGTAGCTGTGAATCTTGTTGAAGTAGTTCGAGTCAGCATTTTGGAGAGAAGATCACGAGCAGATTGTGAAACAGAGTCCCAAATGCCACCGGTGAAATCGAGCTTTTCTTTCTTGATGGCATCGAATACAGTTTCCAAAGAATCGCCTTTGAATGGAAGAAAACCGACGAGAAGTGCGTGAAGGAGAACACCTGCACTCCAGATATCGACTTTCTGTGAGTAATTTCCCACCAAAACTTCTGGAGCTACATATGCTGGACTCCCAACTATACCAGTCAAGCTCTGACCTGCAAAATTAAAATTTTATATTATTATAAAAATAAAAAATAAAAAATAAAAAATAAAAAATAAAAAATAAAAAATAAAAAATAAAAAATAAAAAATAAAAAATAAAAAATAAATAAAAAGGAGGTTCGTTCTTCATTACTTCGGATGGTGTTTATATTGCACTATTTCTTCACAGACACGAGTTGAACCTTGCACAATACAATAATTTTAAAAACAATTCAATGAACAGGGATACAATAGCAGAGTAGCATCTCAATTGTACTTTGGACACGGTCAAAAAATTTAATCATATTCATATGTTCGACTTGCTTGTATATGGAATTGCCGAGTCAGATTCCTCGTCTCCTGCTAAGGAAGCCAAGTACAATTTTCTAAAGCATCTTTTTTGCATCTAATATTTTGACTCTGTAGATGAAGCTCAGATAAAATTGATAAATGTCGAGTTGCATGTTGGTTTTGGCAGTGCAAAACTACTTCAGTTAGTCACATAAGCAAGAACTAACAATAAACCAAAAACTCAACATAAGAGTAAACTCCACTCGCCAATTTAACGGTAGGAGTATGACCAGAAACCAAAAAGTCAATCCAAAGACTCCTGCATAAAGCTGTTGATCACGCAAAAATGGACTTTCTGTATCCTAATTCAAAAGGCAAACGAAATGACCCGTTCAAGAAAGACATGTACCTTTACAAATTTTGCTAAAATTTGTACTTCCATTTTGTTATCTCAAATATCAGTTTGCCAATAAATTTGAAATAAAATACACATTGCTTTCCGGGTGGGGAAGGGGGATAAATTGAATATTACTTACGAGCCCATATCAATATTTCACGAAAAAGTGGCTTCATATGAACAATACGACGAACGAACAAAAAAAGTTTAGTGGATATTAGAAATATTACCATCCAAAATTCTCACAGCTAATCCAAAGTCCGCAAGCTTCATTTGTCCGGATGAAGTAAGGAGAATATTCTCCGGCTTAATATCCCGATGAACCACACCCATCTCATGGCAGTAACGAACAGCCAGCATCAACTCCTTAATAATATTCGCAGCCTTCCTTTCCGAATAAACTCCTTCCCTAGCCATCTGATCAAGCAAGCGCCCGTTCGAACAAAGCTCCATCACGAGATGAAAAGATTCACTATCCTCGTAAACCGCCTTCAAGGTCACGACACCTGGATGCCCCGAAAGATGCTGCATTATCTCGACTTCCCTGTGCACAATCTCCTCCCCCTTTTGCAGAATCTTGCAAGCATATTCCTCTCCGGTGGCCTTGCTCCGACACAAAACCACCGACCCAAACTTCCCTTTCCCTATAGTGTTGGCCAATTCGTAGTCTTGGTCAATCTTCTTCTTTCTACCCAATCGAGTTGCAGCGTCTATGCAGCCGATTTTTCTCTTGAGACCCCTGCCCGGCAATTCCGAGCTAGCAGCCCCACACGCCGGGGCTGTGACAGCACCGTTAACGAGATTTCTACTAAAATCGACGGCTTTAGAACCTACTACTTCCTTGCACTTCTTTTTCCTTCTCGAAAAATCCTCGAGTGAGAAATGTGACCACAGGATTTCCAATTGAGTTTGCTCTTCGGAATCTTTACAACACTCTTCCGATACATCAACCCCTTTCCTCTTCTTCCCCGCACACTCCATATTCGAGACTGAAACTATCACCTTCCCCAAACTTGAGAGATCATCATACAGAAACAATAAATCAAACTAAATCTTCACCTAAAAAGTACCGTAGGAATAAATTTCTGCGATGAATATAATAATTCTCTTCACCTACTTGACCTAATCACAATCAATTGAGAAAAAGATCCCAATTTTTTTTACGAAATCCTGCAATTTGGGCAAATTGGTATGAATCAACAACCAGAGGCAAAAACCCGAAAGGCTCAACGAGAAAGCAACATTAGAGCAATGTTTCATACCTCGGCATGTGTTTTTTCCTGCGACCCATTCGATTAGACGGAGATGAAAGATCCAGCGCGAAGAAACTTCCCGACAAAGTAATGATTTTTGAAATTATATTTTACGGCAACAGAAAATACGAAACCCTAGAAAAATATGAGCTGAACGCGACAATCTTTCCCGAAGAAGATCTGAATTGAGTAATTAAAAACGGAATAATAGTGAAAAGTAGACGATTTTTCATGCATTAATGGGGGAAGTTTCTAGAGAGAGAAAGGAGAAGCAGAGAGAGAGGAGGAGGATGCGTAAAGGGGAAAAAGGGTGAAGTGGTCCAATTGCTTTTTTTTCCCGACTGTTTGAGCTGAACTACCATACGGTGGGACGCACGTGAGACCTAATTAGATCGTACGGTGATTGATAAGATTTGTCAATATCAACGGTGGAGATTTGATGTATCAGTCCGTCGTTTTGTTTTGGCCGATTTCGCCGTACACCCCCAACCAAATAATTTGAATGTTTTTCCTTTATTTGTTTATTCCAAAACTCAATAAACATTTTTTCATTATTGTTTCAAAGATTGGTGAAAAATCATTTGCTTTTACATTGAAATCAAAGGTTGATAAGTAACTTTATATTAGTTATTGCCCCTCTCTCTCTCCCGACTATCTTTCTGCAGTTTACAAGGAGTTACTGAAATATATATATATATATATATATATATATATATATAACCAGTGGCGGATCTAAGATTTTTGTCAAGGGGGTTCGAAATTGTAGAATAAAAAATTAAAATATCATTTTATAAAAATAGTGGACCAAAAATTTATAATTTACAATTTTTAGGTGAATTGTGTAAATATTTAAAGACCAAAAAGTTGAAAAATGTTACCATTCAAAAAAATGGTAACAGAAGATATATTTATAACAAAGTTATATACGTCCACTATAGTCCGATTGTATATCTGTATACATATATATAGAGACCTATACCATTGTTTCTCACAATTTTACAATTTTAGTTTTCTGATTATAATTTCCCCTGTTTGAGCCCTAGAAATCTGATTTCGATCTTTCACTTTTCTTTCTCCAATTGCAGCTTCGTCGTCGTCACTCGTCAGCATTTTTTCTTTACACAAAATCGCTTCCATTCACTCTAATTCGCAGACTAACAATCCAATTTCGAACCACGTTCGCCTGTGCCAGTTACAGAATCGGCAGAGTGTCGGTCGCTACCCAATTTCGAACGACGTTCGCCTATGCCAGTTACAGAATCGGCAGAGTGTCGATCGCTACCCAATTTCGAACTACGTTCGCCTGTGCCAGTTACAGAATCGGCAGAGTGTCGATCGCTACCCAATTTCGAACGACGTTCGCCTGTGCCAGTTACAGAATTGGCAGAGTGTCGATCGCTACCCAATTTCGAACGACGTTCGCCTGTGCCAGTTACAAAATCGGCAGAGTGTCGATCGCTACTGCTCGCGGTAAATTTACGTATTTGTGAATATATATATATATATATATATATATA